GGTAGAATGCTTAAAGGACGAATTCACGATGAAAAAGCAACCCATTTCAAATTAACCTAGGGATGGTGAGTGGTACACGAAAGAAGGAAAACCATGAGAAACGGCCCAGAACCCGAGAAATGGACCCCTTCCTTGCCCGTTGATTTGAGCATTGATGCGACTCTCATCGCTGTGCCCTCTTCAACACTACGCTCTCTCAGCTATCTAATCACTCGCCACGTATTGAACTACGGCGAGTGATCAGATGATCGGTGGGCGGAGATCGCCGGACCCGCCAGCTTTGAGGCATGATAGGTCGCCGAGGTCAAATTTTTCCATGCGAATTGCGCGTCAGTTCGCACCCTCAGGAGGTCCGTGGGTCCCTCAACTAGGTCAGTTTCCCTTTCTTCGACCTTCATTCTAATCGTGAATTCCTCCTTTAAGTCAAGAAGGATAGTACAGCGAAAGTGTTTTCAGTCACTTCCATTCATGTCCACTTCATCGTTTTACAGGAAGGTGATCGCATCCTGGAATTGAATGGTTTACCCATTGCTGAGCTACCCGTGGATGATGTGGCGCGTATTCTTAATCGTGTCGATCACGGTACTGTCACTCTAAAATTAGTCCCTGCGGATAGCTCTACTCGAGGAGAGAATGGCGCTCCCCATGTGTACATGCGTGCCATGGTGGGTTATTTCCTTTACAATCTATTGTTATTGTTATGACTTCATTCTTGCTTCAGTATGATTATAATGGCAAGAATGACGAGCGGCATCCCTGCCCCGAGGTGTCCATAGCTTTTAGCAAAGGAGACATCCTCGAGTTACTTGCGTGCAATGATGATCATTGGTGGCAGGTAAAAATTCTGTCATGAAAGTATCATAAATGACACAAATATCTGGTTTAAGGCACGTCGTATCGGAAATGGAGCGTTCGCGAATTGTGAGGATATCAAAGGTGAGAACTGAATAGATTTGTGTATTTCTTGTAAGTTGTTAATGCTGAAGACAGGATTGCTTTAGCAGCATCACGGATAGGCCTAATACCATCTGAAGCTCTTCAACTAGCTAAGTCTACCTCAGAACAGGAGCTGAAGCATGCGGACCGTCGTGGGTCCAGTCACTCACGGAGCAGCCATGATGTAAGGATGTCTGATTTCCTTTATACATTGCTTGATTCACTTATGGTCATTGAATGGATAACAAAAGTATTATACCTTGCGCGTTCGCGCGCTATAATGTTGCGGAAGTCGCGATGCCTTCTAGAACGCGTTTCCTCGAAAAAGCAAGCGCGGCCAGACCGTGTTTTTCAAATTTTTAATTTGAAGGCCGCTCTCAGAGGAGTGTTCCGCCGACAGCAACCTTTTCTATGGACATAAATTTGGATTAGGCGGAGGTATTCCAGGACCTGCTGTTTAAGCAGAAAGCAGGTCAGAAGCAAAAGATGCACGTGGTTCATAACGGCCCGAAACATTCTCAGGTGAGACGCTCCGGTATACCTTGCTATGGCGTTGGATTTATAAGGTCTTGAAAGTGGTCCTGGCACTGAAAATGGAGTTCTTACCACATATTACTTCATTCGTTTTGAACAAATTTGGTTAAAACGTTCTTATGTTTCTGTTTGCTATACTTCCGTGGTAAAGTTTTCTACCCTACTAATTCAATTGCTTGGTCATGCAAAGCTCTATCGAAGACATTCACATTTTCTTTATGCAGCTCTTCTTCTCGGTCATATGAGTGGTACTTTCTATGTTTATCACTCGGCTCCTCCCTGAGACCCTCGTCCGAACGCGATTGGCGTTCGCTGGAACCTCGACGGAGCCGCCTGCCCCCGAGATCCATTGGCGACGGAGCCCCCGATGGGTCGCTGCGACGGAAGCCGCCTGGCGACGGCATGCGCCGCGACGGAAACGCCGCAAAGAGTGGACAATCAGCGGCGATACTCATTCAAGCACACGATCGGATATGGTTGTTGAGGTGAGCATATAATACCAGGTGAGATGATTAATGCAACCGAGCCCTACCAACCGATATCGATCGTGTGCTGATGAGTCATCGCCCGCTGCTGCCACTCTTGTGCCGGGCGGCTCCGTCGCCAGCGACTCCATCGCCGGCGGACTCCATCGCCGGCGGACTCCATCGCCGGCGGACTCCATCGCCGGCGACTCCATCGCCGGCGGCTCCATCGCCGGCGATCCATCGCCGGCGGCTCCGTCGCCCGCGGACTCCATCGCGGCGGCCCGTCGCTGGTGTCCAGCGACGCAATCGCCCGCCGAGATCTGAACCGAGGTCTGAACGATGCCTGGAATCAACCCGCGCCGCACGAACGCGCGCGGCATCGCGTGGTGACCTTCTCCCACACAACCAAGTGACTTCAGAAGTTTAAACTTTTTTCTGGTCATGGAAATGTACTTTTCAGTCGGAGTTAATCTATGAATCGGTATGCCGTGCCTTGCCCAGAGAAGATGAATCAAGGATCATTGTGCTACTCGGACCACCCGGTGTTGGCAGGTATTCTTGATAATTTCTTCACATTTTATCTGTTTATTTTTTCTAGATGCCATTGTTTTTTAGTTATTGGCTGAATCATACCCTATATGTATAGTTTTGTTAAGGAATGAACTTAAACGGCGTCTGCTAGCGCGGTTCCCTCAACGGTTCACCACTACTATTCCGCATACCACGAGGGCAATGAGGTGAATTCTTTTATTCTCAATAAAATTTCTCTTGATTACCCTCAATCTAATATTGCAATGTGATGAAACCTACCTTCAGAGCTGGAGAAGCTGAAGGTGTTGATTACTACTTTGTGGAGCGGTCTGTGATGGAAAAGATGATATATTCTGGACAGATGTTAGAGTATGGAGAATATAAAGGTTTGTAGAAAAATTCGCTGATTACTTTTTATGTATTTTTGGATTTTGTCAAATTGGTTTTAATTTTATATCCTGAGTACCATGCGAGCTCAGTGAATGTTGTACTCCATTCATTCTTAGCCTTTCTGTAGGGCCCAAGTCAGCCCAAGGTAAGCGAGTGGAGCTCTATTTGGCTAGAATCATAGGTGGTGCAAGGGTCCGAAGTTGTGGGAAACCCACACCGCGCCTATAGTACATTCCGGCACGCCGGCATCTCATTATCGCAGCGAAAGTATTTGGAATGCAAATGCAAAGTGCGCTCAGAAATGTCGTGTAGGTCCAGCAAAGGCGTCTATTGTCGCTTGGCGCCAAATTTGAATTGAAAATAGTCGCGACGTCGCACGGTGACCTGCTACATGCACTGGAAGTGTTGGTCCATAAGCACAAGTCGGTGTTTAATGGGATGTTTAATTTCTGTTGTTGTTCCAGGTAATCTGTACGGAACCGCCCTGTCCTCAGTGCGTGATGCAAAGCGCCGAGGAACTCTGCTCATCACCCCTCATCCGTTGGCATTGCAACTGCTGCGTACTTCTGAATTTATGCCGTTTATTATTTTCGTACAACCACCTGATAAGGTGACATTTAAGGTTAGTCGGAAACCTAATCGTACTTCATAAAAAAGGTCTTCGTTTTGCACGAATCGGTACCATTTCTGTTATCTCTATTAGCGCTATCGTTTTAGGATTTGCAGTACTAACCGTTATCACTTTATGAAGTAAATTCAGGTTACTCGAGCCGCTGGTCCGCATAGTACTCGCGCTTCTACGTCAACTTTAAAGAGAAGCACCTATGGCCGGTCCTTCACAGATGTAGAAATAGAACAGATCTTGGAGAGCAGTGCTTCACTTTATAAGCAGTAAGTTCTCAATAAAAATTTAAGTGATATTTTCTGACATTTGTTGACCACCTCATTTCTTAATCTTTTCTGGAATATCAATTTTTCTTTTTTCTAAAATGACCAAATGGATAATGGGGCGGAGACACGGTTTCACAAGCGGCTGCGGTAACGACTGTTACGTGCTCTTATAAACTAGTTCTACTCATCAAACAGAAAATGCGAACTGGCTAGCTTCATCATGAGAAAAGCGAACTGGCTAGCTTATCATGAGAAAAAGCGAGGATTCGCGTTTTGCAACCTCGATGAGAGTTTCTAGGTTTTGTGCGTTGCATTAGGAATCAGCTGCAGCGCGACCGCATGCGACTGCGACTCCGCCCTGTGTGATAGTGGGAACCATTTATGTTCAGTGCCTCTAATTCAGATATCGCCATTTATTGGATACAACTTTAATCAACAAAGATCTCGAGGAGAGCTGTACACAACTGCTTCGTCTCATCAATGATCTGGAAACGAAACCCACATGGGTACCTCTCAGTTGGGCGACTCATCTACGGTCAGATTGACATGTTCTCTGTTTGTTTCACTACGAATTGTTTTGTCGTAAATTCGGGTTATCTTTACTTAGATTTTTCTTCTTGTTTTCTGACTACGATATCCAAAGGTTTGTTTCTTCAGTGGAATAAAAGAAGAAAGGCTATAGGATATTATCCCGCCCTTCCCTCCTCCCCTTCCACAGGTCGTTGTAATCATCGTGATGGTTTGGGTAGAATGATGTACTCGCTGTGATACTGGTTAGCATACTTAGCTTCTTATTTTGTGGTCCGGTATGTCACCCATGCTGTAAACAAATTGGAACACAGAGCGGGTTTTATTCGAGAAAAACAAATTTGCATTGAGGAGCAGCTGCAACTAGCTCCCTGGACGTGAAAGGACTAAAGATTGCGATCTGTACTTCCAATGCTTGAAAGACTTGAAGGCCTTTATATTGACAGCCTGATGATGCAAGCCTAGAAGATCAACTACGACGTCATTCGGACTGACCGAAAAGAGAAGGCACCGCCCGCCGCAAGCCGTTTTCGATACTGGAGAATAAATGTTACCTACATGCGACAGCAGAGGCGTTGGCGGATGTGGGTACACACAACAACACGCACTTGGCCATAAACATCGATTCGTACGAAAGCCTTATAACCCGAATCGGACTTTTGAAATGAAGAAGATGTGCTTCAACTCCTGCTTTGACAGTCTTCGTCGCCTGCGCTCCAACTTCATGCTGCGACGAGGATGGGCTTGAAAAGTTGTTGCTTTCCCTCGAGCTCGTCGAGCCTCCTTGGAGCGTTTTGGTACCATGTCCAGCCGTTGCTTACCTCTGCCCATCAAACTCCTTCCTGAACGGTAGCTCATGACCGTGACCCGGTTTGCTTACCTTCTTCGGGGAGAACCTTGCACCACCACATCCCAGATCTGTGAAGTGTTCTATGTATGCACGGAAAGGATATGCAGGATTTCATGATCCAGTGAAGTTCAAAAAGCACCGCTGGCGACACCAAACCCAGGTTTTTTCTGAGGAAAAATGGCTAAACTTCGGGAAAAGGAACGACCAGAATGAAAAAAAAAAAGACTGGATTCCCCAATGTTTCATCACCTTGCCATCCCTTACAGTTCTAGGAGCCGTCGCATATTTGCACGTTGGACTTGGTAGTCACCTGGCTGACAGTTCCATAAAGGGATAGGTCACGTCATTTTCAATTGAATATTTTGCATAAGCGACGTCGCTGAAGTTCCGATGTTTTTTTTTTTTTTTTTTTTTTTCTTTTTTTTTCCCCACACGAAATCGCACCATCTCTCCTGCGCAAAATTCCTTTTTTCGATCCATGGAGAGGATTCCGTTGGCGAAAACATCGACGATTGAACACTTTCACAAAAACGGCTAGAAAGGCAGAGAACATCGAAATTGTCGGGAGATGTCTCTTTACAGAAACTTGGCCTGTTAAAGCAATACGCGCAGGCGCAGGTACCAATTTGTGTCTGAGCTTGTAGAGCTCTCCGGAGAAGCAATAAAAGATCTCAAGACAGCAAAAAGATGGCAGCAGAGGATCCGCTCATGCAAGCCAATACCTATTCCTATCGGATGCCCTACCCCTGCCTGACCCAGCAGCAAAAGGTCATCTTCGTTGTGAAGTTAGATTATCACCTCATTCGCAACAGCTGAAAATATCCAAAAACTTCCTTTTTTGCAAAAAAGAACAAACGATATGGATTACCGTTTAATTGCTATGTTTTATCCATAATTGCCCTCATTTAATGTGCTTGAATGTCAGGTGCTGTGTTAGTTACAACAAATATGTTTGTTGCCCCTCAATATGTTTGTTGCTCCTCTTGTGTTGCCCCTACCTATATTGCCAGTCATATCCGGGTGTTGAAGGAAACGATGTCAGCATTTTTTGTCTCATTAGCATGATGTCAAATTCTTAGAATTCTTAATTTTGATTTTGCAGCTCGTTTGATAAATGTAATGACTTAATGTGGTCTTCCGATTTAGTGCATAATCCATTATTACACAGCCCACGCTGAGTGATTAACATGATTTTTCGACCTAGGCCAAGGAGTGTTCAAAAAGTTGTAATTGATTTTTTAAGGAGAGTTTCATGATAAGAACGAAGGCCTGAGAAGTGGATCTAGCATGGTCTCTTCCGCGACGCAGTTCGTACTCTACCCCCTCCCCCCTCGCGTCGTCTCATATCTGGGTCTCTAGCCACAGAGAGAGCGTTAGCGTTGAAGAGGGCAGCACCGATGGAAGTCGCATCATGGTTAAGGAAAGGGTCTCACATCTCCGGTTCTAGGCCATTTTTCTCGCTTTTTTTCTTGTTTCCTGTAACCATCTTTGACCATCTCTACTTATTTCCAGCGGGTTGCCTTTTCATCGTAAAATCCTCCTTCCAGGGGTAGCTATGAATGGAAAACATTTTGTAATCACAATTTTGCCTAAACGTGGAGGCCTCCAGGTCGTGTTCCTGTGAAGTAAACTTCGAGTAGACGTGAATTTTTCTTTTAAATGGTTTGAGCCAGATCTGCAAATCCAGTTACCCCACGCAGTGAACTAGGGTCAGAATCAAAGCTGTGAACAATTGCATGAGCACGGCCTCCAACTCCTCTCCTTTATTCTTCCCTGCGGGTCTACATAAGGGTTTTTTTTACCTTCCGGGTACCGAGAAGAATTACGATAGCTTTAACTGGTCTCTCTGAAACCTGTCTTTAAAAAAGACCAAAAGCCTTCGTCCGAAAATCTCAGATACAATTCCCTTGACGGAATTTTTTCAACAGAACGTCTTGACTCGTGTGGCTAACTTGACTAAGGCCCAAAGCTCGGGCAACAAGCCGGCTTTTCTTGATTGGCCACCGTGACACCGTGAAATGCGCCACACACTCTACTTGTGTCGAAATGTCGTGGTAGCTCAGCTTCAAGTTAGGTGCTATCCTTGTGTACGACAACCAAAACCTTCTGAAAAGCATTGAATTCAAAATGTTCCCTGCCAACCAGTATCATATGGCCATGCTTTTTAACTTACATTCAAAACCGTAGTGGTTTATGAATGCGCATGGAACCTTTCAGTGGTGTAAAAAAATTGTGGAAGCCCAAAAATATATGGAAATAAAGTAAACCCTCGGCAAACCTTAAATAGAGACGAGTAGAGAAGAAGAGGATGACGGACCAGAGCGGTCGAAATTTGAATTTCTCGTCGATTTGCCAACCATTTGATTCTGTGAGGAATTCATGTGAAAAATCAATCAAGGGACACTTAGCTGTGAAAACAGGCTAGCTGAAATGCGGGTTTAGAATCAAAGAGGTCGGCTGGCGGTGGACAATCAAAAGGGTAAACAAAAGGGCCTAACCTCGACTTCAGCTAACCGGGCCCTCTGGGTTATCCTTAAACCCCAACTCCTTCGTAAACTTTTGGAAACAGCCGCGATTAACCTTACCCTTGAACGGGTAGACTCAAACTTACCCAATATCAGAAAATATTACCACGACAGCACGTGGTACGAATTATACAAGAGTAATCTGTAGAACATTTACACTTTATCATAATTGTAGTACAAATCAAGGTTACCCGTTACAACCCCAGTTCACATAGTACACATTATCGATTCGTTCCATCATTGTCTAATCAATAAAATCGATAACATAAAAGTAATACAGTGCATACAGTATCACCCAAATATGTCGAACACACATAAAATCTTCCATATCACGACGCACTCGACAGTAGAATTTCTTGGAATCAGAATCAAGAAAGGCGGAGCCTAAGTCCAACAGGGCGAGTAGAAGCAAAACTGCATGCGGTACTGTACTATTATACTTCGCCCGCATCCTTGGGATACTGTAGATCTACTGTAACTGGGAGTTTTCTGTGAGTACAAACAAACTTATAAGTAAATGGCAAGAAGTACCTACAAAGAGCATCTGGGAATGGGTCGGTGTAGGTCAAGAGGTCCACCGCGCGGCGAACGCGGCGTCGCGCTGCGACGTTCTCTGTGAAAGGTACTGTATCAAGTAGTGCCCTGGCGTCTTTGCGTGTTCACCACGTGGTGGCCCTCCTAGCCAGACCCCAAATGGACCTATTGGTCGGGAACCCATGTGTGTTTACAGTATCCCTGCCCCGTCGTGGGTCCCAAGAGGTTGGATGCGGGTGAAGATCCGGTCAAAATTGCACCGTTTGCTTCACTGTGAAATCTGTTGACTCAAGCATCTCTGGAAGAAAGTGGCCGGCGCCAAAAGTGGTACGCGCCATTATTACCCTTAGGTTTAGCGCCATGTGCCATGTTGTGACCGAGCTCAGCACCCGTTGGCCAGCCACGGCCAGAAATCTTAGTACTCCTTGAGTAAGCATAGACGTCTGATGATTTTCTTGAAAGCGGCACGGAAATCCTGCGAGAACACCGTATAGATAATCGGATTCAGCGCCGAATTGAGATAGCCTGAAATAACTGACTCAGTAATTTGACCAAAGAATGCTACGTAACCAGGCTAGGCCACTAACCAAGCCAAGCAGTCACTGTTTCCACAGCACGTGGTATCGTACATCGACAAATCGGTCTATACAGAGAGACTAAAAAGAACGGCGTCCAGCAGGCGACAAATGTACCTAAACATCTAGACATCATCAAAATAATTGGCCCTGCCCATTTTAAGACCCCTCTTTACACCTCACTGCCAGCACGTAAGAAACACGTGTTAGTTTCCGCCAACGAAGTTTAGTTGAGCTCAAAATAGAGAAGCTCAGTGTCGATGAGCAAAATTGCGTCAATCCAGCAATCACTAATCCCCCCTCCTCCTCCCTCCCAGCCTTCTCCCTCTCATTGACTTCCCTGTCAAGGTCAATTGTGAGGTTAGTAAAAATTTGAGAAATGCGACCCCTCGGGGTGCCTCATACAGCCCCGCCCAGCCAACATCACTTCACAACCACAGCTGTTCCCAGTGTTTTATTGCATTAGATCTGGTACCACATGACACACTCAAGCTCCAACCCCGCCCACAACACGGGTCACATTTGTAATTGAGGTCAACGGAGGGAGGTGGTACGTACATATTTGTTCCAATGGCAAATTCCGTACCTATATATTCTTTAGTTCTCTTCATTCACGAGCTCATCTTTACCAAGAACGATCCCTCTAAAAACCTCAAATAGACCCTNTCCGTCAAANATCATTATACTACATCTTGCGATATACTACCGAAACGGACCAGTGTAACGGCCTGCTCCATGTTCGCCATCGGGCGATATCGCGATGCGATAAATATCATGGCCTATTGAGTAAATTTTACTCCGTAGTTATCGCCCAGTTCGCCATAGCTTTCCGTCACATGTTGTGCTTTTCGAGGCACTGTCTCCTTTGATGTTCCTTTCTTTCGACCATATTATGGTCGAACGACTGCTGCGTTCCATGATGCGAATTGTTTTCGAGAGAGTGACGCAGCGATGCGATTATTAAATCAATGAGACGCAAGATCGATTATCGATCGAGTAAGCTTTACTTGTGATTGACATGATCGTCCAATTTTGTTTCTTGTTCTGGCAGTGTATGGGAGATTGTTCGATCCTCTTCTGATTGTGTTGACGTCGACGATTCACCGATACTCTGAAAAATACAGTATTGATTCTCTCCCAAAAATCGATTTATTAATGATCGCGATCGATTTGTTGCACGAAGGCGAAAAGTGGCCTCTTCTGAGACTGTTCGCTAATAGAAACTTAATGGTCTCTATATCGCCTACTAGAGTGGCTTCCGCTGGTTTCGATTCTATCACCCTTCCCTACCCCCTCAAAGTCGCAAATCATCAATCAGTTATCGATTTCTAAGCATTTTATGCACACACTTTTTCCCCGGGCATATCATACTTGCAAACCTAACAACACAAGTAACGCCAGATAGTATCGAAGGAGTCAAAAAACACATGTGATCCAGTCCCATCGAGCGATGCCCTCAACAAAACTACATCAAATATGATTTCTGATGCTGTTGATGCCATCTGATGCTACGTGTGTCATTAAGTCCGCAATTAAGAATGCCAGGCAGCGGGTATAAAGTGTGCTTCTGACGTGATAAGTTATAACTACTCGATATTGATGTATTCATTTAGCCACAAAACTTTGTTTTCTTACCTTTTTATTTCTGTACTCCTCAGATTTTTCGCCATTTGTTACCGAGCTCTGTTGTACTGATAT